TCAGCCTCAGCCTGCTTCAGCCTCAGCCTCAGCCTGCTTCAGCCTCAGCATCAGTCTGCCTTCAGCCTCGGCCTCAGCCTCAGCCTGCCTCAGCCTCAGCCTGCATCGGCCTCAGCCTCAGCCTCAGCCTGCTTCAGCCTCAGCCTCAGCCTGCCTCAGCCTCAGCTTCAGCCTGCTTCAGCGTCAGCCTCAGTCTGCCTTCGGTCTCGGCCTCAGCCTCAGCCTGCCTCAGCCTCAGCCTGCATCAGCCTCAGCCTCAGCCTCAGCCCGCCTCAGCCTCAGCCTGCTTCAGCCTCAACTTCAGCCTCAGCCTGCCTCATCCTCAGCCTCAGCCTGCTTCAGCCTCAGCCTTAGTCTGCCTTCAGCCTCGGCCTCAGCCTCAGCCTGCTTCAGCCTCAGCCTGCCTCAGCCTCAGCTTCAGCCTCAGCCTCAGCCTCAGCCTCAGCCTCAGCCGGCGTCAGCCTCAGCCTGCCGCAGCCTCAGCTTCAGCATCAGCCTGCCTCAGCCTCAGCCTCCGCCTGCTTCAGTCTCAGCCTCAGTCTGCCTGCAGCTTCGGCCTCAGCCCAGCCTGAGCCCTGAGCCTCAGCCTGCTTCAGCCTCAGCCTCAAGCTGCCTTCAGCGTCGGCCTCAGCCTCAGCGTGCGTCAGCCTCAGCCTGCATCAGGTCAGCCTCAGCCTCAGCCTGCGTCAGCCTCATCCTGCCTGAGCCTCAGCCCCAGCCTGCCTCAGCCTCAGCCTCAGCCTCAGTCTGCCTTCACCTTCGGCCTCAGCCTCAGCCAGCCTCACCCTTAGCCAGCATCAGCCTGAGCCTCAGCCTCAGCCTGCCTCAGCATCAGCCTACCTCAGCCTCAGCCTCAACTTCAGCCTCAGCCTCAGCCTCAGCGTCAGCCTGCTTCAGCCTCAGCCTCAGTCTGCCCTCAGCCTCGGCCTCAGCCTCAGCCTGCCTCAGCCTCAGCGTGCATCAGCCTCAGCCTCAGCCTCAGCCTGCCTCAGCATCAGCCAGCCTCAGCCTCGGCCTCAGCCTGCCTCAGCCTCAGCCTCAGCCTGCTTCAGCGTCAGCTTCAGTCTGCCTTCAGCCTCGGCCTCAGCCTCAGCCTGCCTCAGCCTCAGCTTGCCTCAACCTCAGCATCATCTTGCCTCAGAATTCAAAATGTGGCCCGGGAGTGGAGTTCTGGGAGCTCGAAGAACACGAAGTGGCTTACGGTTGGCTCCGGGCATTCAGAATCATGCCCAAGAATGGAGTTCTGGGAGCTCGAAGACCACGGAGTGGCCGACAGTTGGCTCCGGGTATTCAAAATCATGCCCAGGAACGGAGTCCGGGGAATTCGAAGACCACGAAGTGGCCTACAGTTGGCTCCGGGCATTCAAAATCATGCCCAGGAATGGAGTTCTGGGAACTCGAAGACCACGAAGTGGCCTACAGTTGGTTCCGGGCATTCAAAATAATGCCCAGGAATGCAGTTCCGGGAACTCGAAGACCACGAAAAGCGTTACTGTTTGCTACAAAAGGAGTCCCCGCATTCCCGGGGCACCCTCCCCGGATTCCCGGGGTACCCGTCCGGATCCCGCGCAGACCCCCCTGGTGAGTCATGATGTTCTCTTTTGACCCTTTTAGAAACCTATCAGTCTTCGCTGTTCGGTGAAAAGCGGTTTCTCGGTGGTTCCGGGCCTCGTCGTAAGGAGCCGCCGATGGGCAGGCCGCTCAGGACTTCCTGCGCAAGAAACTGTCCCGGGTGAGCCATTGTCAACGGGAACGCGCCCCGCGCAGTCAACCTACACGACACAGCGCATCTACTACAGATGATCAGCGGCCAAAAGGGCGTGACACACTGCAACATTGACGCTCCATCATGAACGAGCCCGTACGTCAGCAGAGTGGCTACTCCGAGTCCGCACCACCACCGACATTCCAGGATACAAGCGACTCAACCAACACATGCACTTCAGACTAACCAGCACACAGCAAAGACCATGACGCCAACACCTACTAGGAACGGAGCAACCCTCCGCCCAATACACTTCCATCGTTTATCAAGATCCTTGTGATCTGCCCACCACCCAGAGCAGCAGCCGCACAACGATTGCTCGTTGACTTTCCACTGGACGTACGTGCCTCGCAGATACAAGCGACCAATCAGAGCCTACTTTCCACCGAAGGCTCCACCTGCCATGCCAGACGAACAGACTGGCTCTACACTCGTACCAGCATGCGACGGCTTCTTCGGAACGCACACTGTTGACGACGCTGGCGGCCAGCACCTACTGCACCTGAGCTACAATTCGCGGCCACCAGCAGCAACATGGGGAGTACGTGGACGGGGTACACAGACGTAACTTACAGCTTCAAGCAACTCAGCTGCGCAACGAGAGAACACCAGCGCTTCAGGTACCGCCGACGCCAAAGCTCAAGTTTCCAACATCAGGGCACAAGGCACCACCGACGCCTATGCCCAAATCCCCGACATACCGATCAGGAAATGTGCCATGCTGGGTTAGTTAGTGACCTCATGACCTCACATCGACCACACCGGTTACTACTTGCTCGCCAACGACCAGCTGTACTTACAGTACTCACGGGTTGCCGTTGTCACCTCTTTTCGCAAGTGCTTGCAACTTGCGCTTTTTTATCATGTTCCGTTGTGTTCTTCTGTCTGGATCCACTTCATTGATTGGGTTGGTTGAGGTCATGGTTGGAGTTGGGATGGATCGGAGCTTCGAACAAGAAGGTTCGTTTGCCAACTGGCTAGCCCTTGCAGAGCGCGCGCTTTCCCACTGATGCCTCTATACATCACCATTTTTTCTGCTCCCCACCAGTCTACCAGAACAACGGGGCTTGCGCTAAACCTGTAAAACTTATTGAAAAGCACGCGGTTCCCAGTGCCGAGGATGTTTTGGGTGAGCCGACAAAATCTTGGGTAGCATCCCAAGATTCGCAGCGTACACTTGGCACATGAATGTGCTTCGCATCTTGTCACGTCTGTCACATTGGCCGACACGAGACGAGGACACTTTATCTTACAGGGTTGGGATGGATTGTGGACGCGGTGCGGGGGGGGGGAGAGTGGGATGCACCCTGCAGCTTATCGGGCCCCCCCTGGACGACAGGGTACGGCCCCGCCAGTGCAGCAGCATCGGGATATTCAGCGAAACAGCTTAAACTTCAAGGTCATAGGCCAGCCAGCACCGACTGCGCCAGCCTCATATAACGCAAGTTTGCCTCTTGGCCACACAGCTGATCTTTCCATTACCACTACAGACAGCTACAGCACAGGCCAGCTATTTTCCCGTGCCAGCCTTAGCCTACAATCAGCAGTTTCAGTACGACATCCTCCTCTTCCAGCCTCCACTGCGCCTACTCCATATTTCTGCTCACACATGTTCTATTACTTTCTGATGTGTATTGCCATTTTGGCCAGTAAGTAAGGGCAGGGCCCCGCGGGCCCATCCCACTGTGGACTTCTTACCGCAGCATTACTTAGTAAGTACATTTTTCCCAATCGCCAACCTACCGTCGCTTGTTCGCAGCAGCCCAATGCATACATATTTAATGCAGCTGTACCCCAGTCAAGCCTTTCCAGCGTAGTTCCTGTTCTGTCCCCTCAAACACAGTATACAGCGTAGCCAGGCCAGCTTTTCAGTTGCGCCAGCCTCCACACAGTTTTCTCAGCGCAGCTCAGCGCGTAGTTATCAGTGGAGAGCCTGGTGGAGGTGGTGGTGGACTAGGGAGGTGGTGGGGGAGCACTATGCACGGCCCGCCATGACTGCAGCGGAGACTTTAAGACATCCATCACCGCAGCTGCACCTACCTTAGGCCAGTCTTTTATTTGTGCCTGTCCCACCAGCCATTTATTTGTGCCTGTCCCAGAGCCATACCATTTTGGCGTATGCTGCTATGCCACACCCTATACTGTCGCCGCGTGCTCTATACTGTTATCTTGCCACGCATCACGCTTCTTTTAAATGTAAGCCTTGATTCACTACGGTGGATTGAGGAGGTGGATCTGGTCAATGGGGGGGCTGGTGGGACTCCTCACTGCGTTTGCCCCACCACTACTCTGGCTGCCTAGCAGACCTCAGTGCACATACATACCACTGGGAGACACCTGCTGAAAAACATGCAGGCGAGCCTTTGCTGCGCTATGTTTCCCTTCCAGTGCACGCGTGTTTCGTTCACTCTTGTTCGGCGATTCCCCCCTTCGATATCAGGTTCTGTTTATTGTTATCCTCTTGCTTCCCCCAATACGGCTTCGTTACTTTGTGCCCAACTGGGTTTCTTTGCTTGACTTTACATGTTTTGCCCTTCGTGATCCACTGCCGAGCGTTCAAGCTGGCGCAACGCAAAAAAAAAAGGAGGGGGATGGGTGGGGGGAGAGCGGGGAGGAGAATGAGGTCGAATAGTAAGAACTAACATGAATTTCAACTTTCGGTGCGGACCCCCCTTGCGGCGCCTCCAGCGCCGCCCCTGGCGCGCTCCGCGCGCCAGGGAGGGGGCCCCGCGTAGATCCGAAAAATCTGCGCGGACCACCAACATATGATATTCATGTATTTTTTTCGCCCCCCAGGAGAATTGTAGCGCCTTGCTGATGCACTTGAGTGTAGGCGTAGCCCTGATGAATCGGGTGGGGCACATGGTCTCGCCAATGCTTGACGGCGGTGCTCGTGAACCTTTGGAGGGTAAGCCTTCTGGTTCTGGAGCCTGTTGCAAGGATGGTTGTTGGCACTTGGTGCTGAGTCAGAGGAGGAGGATGAGGGGGAGGAAGAGGGGGAGGAGGAGGAGGAGGAGGAAGAGCGACCGCGCGTCGCGCTTCGAGGTCTGGGTCAGAGGCCTATTTTTACTGGTGCCATTGTTTTCTTTCGTACATGGCACATCTGAGACATTCTCCGGACAGTGCTTGCACTTATTGGTTCTTATTTCTTTTCTTAGTAATTGGGCCTGTGTGGCGGTCTGGCGGCTATGTTGTCGCCGTCGCCGCCCCGTCGCGCCTCGTCGCCGCCCGTCGTCTGGGCCTGTGTGGCGGTCTGGCGGCTATGCTGTCACCGTCGCCGTCCCGTCGCGCCTCGTCGCCACTCGTCGTCCTGGTCGGTGTAGCGGTCTGGCGGCCATGTTGTCGCCGTTGCCGCCCTGTCGCCGCCTCGTCGCCGCCCGTCGTCTGGGCCTGTGTGACGGTCTGGCGGCTACGTTGTCGCCGTCGTCGCCCCGTCGCCGCATTGTCGCCGCCCGTCGTCTAGGCCTGTGTGGCGGCCTGGCGGCTATGCTGTCGCCGTCGCCGCCCCGTACCGTCGCCGCTGCCCCGTTGCACAACATTTGTGTTGCACCACGTAGATCGCACCACATATATTCTCCTTTCTTAAAAGGAAGTATATTCTCCCCCCGGGATTATCCGCCCTTTTTCGTATTGTAATTTGCATGTGATTCTGCCCCATCATCCATCCTAAATCTGAAGTCGTATCATTCCAGGCAGGCTGGTATTGACACCCCGGTCATCCTCTGCAACAAATTCTGTGCGCGCACACTCGTTGATCAAGAATCTTCAGTTTTCCAGAACCCCTATCAAAACATTGGACGAAGTGCGCACGCGCGTCGTCGCGGGCGCATGCCGATTTTTTTTACAAAAACGGTAGGTTTCGTAAGGATTTCAAATTCAAGTGGCCAAACTCATACAAAAGCATATGGCTTCGCCTCACAAATTTTCAAAAAGACTTGCGCGCGCGCTCTTGCGAGTTCTGAAGAAAACCATCGGTTTTTCAGCATGTTCAGAACATGCTACGAAACGGGTTTCGCGCTCGCATGTCGAAATCGTTCGAACGCCTTTTCGCGCGTGATGTCGCGAGAATCCTTTGCTCCAAAAGGGACGAAGTGCACGCGCGCGCGCGTCGTCGCGCGCATGCCGAAACCTTTCATTTTTTTCGCAGGGATGTCAAAACCGAGTGTCCCGAAACCATATAAAACCCATAGTTGTGCGCAACATCAGTTTTCAGAACATCTCGCGCTCGCGCTTTGGCGAATCCTTAAGAAACCATAAGTTTCCAACATTTTAATGGGATTCTGCCACACGGGCCTCTCGCGCCGCATGCCGACATCATTCGAACGCCCTTGCGCGCGTGCGGGGAGGGGCACGATCCGTGTCGAATAATTCCATGCGGGCCACTCTCACGCGTCGGCCGCGCGCGCATGTCGAACTCCTTCCATCACTTTCATCACCGACGCGAGGACGCCGTCATGTCATCGTCGTCGGCGTGATCAGCATCGGCGCTGTCACTGGCCGTGCCGTCGTCGCTGTCAGCATCGTCACCAGCATCGCTACTATTATCATCGTGTTTACCGTTGTCGACGTTACCATGATACCGCGCGCGCCCACGTCGCCGATTCGTATTGAAGTGCCCGTTGCAATGTGCCTATAGGTCAGCGCCGCCGCGGCCGTGTCGGTCGCGCCAAACGCCGCTGCGCGCGCGTGCATGCGCGGGCTGGCGCGGCCGCGGAGATGCACCATCCAGCGCCGAGCACTCATCGCAATCGCCGCCGCATGGGTTTTTGTAAACCAAGTTGCGGGTGTGTGGGTGGGATGTTTGTAATAGCGTGGGTTGTGTCACTTCGTTTGTTAAATGCATTTTCACATAAACGCCACGTATATTGCATTGCGCATGGTGTGCTCCACGTATAATGCACAGCATATGTTGCACAACGTGTACTGTACAACATCGGTTGCACCACCTATAGAACATTACGTATTTGGGCCCGCATATAGTGCACAAGTTATATTGCTCCACACAGATACACCATTAAGTGCACCATAGTGGTTGCGCAACATACATTGCACCACATAGTTTGCTCCACGTATATTGCAAAGCGTGGACTGCACACAGAGTGCATCACGTCTCTTGCACCACAGCGATTGCCCCACGCGGACTGCATGGCATATATATTGTTAGACGCACGCACTGTTTAGGGTCCGTTCTGGTTATCGATTATACTGCGTATATCTACATACGCGTTTTTTCATTGGATCGCGTATATCTTATGCACCTCTATAGCGCAGTTCGCTCCCTCGCGAGGCGGGACCTTGAGGTCAAGCGGGGACTGGTCTTGGCTCGGAAGGCACCAGGTAGACACCTACACCGATCCCAGTCAAGCCAATCTGGGGTCCAGGATCGGTGCGTATGCCTGTCTGCCCAGACCAGGAGGGCGCATACACCGATCCTGGGCCCAGGATTTAGCCTGGCCAGGATCGCTGTAGGCGCACAGTCAACTTGCATAGTAAGGATGGGTTCCCAAAGGGTACCCTTACATCCTTGCGTCCTGGGCCCTTCCTTGGCCCCTTTCGTTGACCGCGCCCCGCTCGAGAAGCTTCGACGTGGCCTTCCAAGGCCCTTGCCTACCCTTCTGGCGAGCGGGGCGAGGCGTGTCCAGGCCCGTCGCCAGCGTGGCGCAAAAATCCTTTCGCTCGTCCTCCCGCTGCTCGTTCTCCTCTCTCTTCCCCCCCCTCCCGCCCCGACAGCCACGGCGGCGGGCTGCTGCTAGTCTCTGGCCTCTGGGTTTCCTCCCTGGGCCTGGGGACTGACCACGAGACGACTCGGGCTGAACAGCTGGTCCCAGGGAAGGGGTCCAGGTTTCTGGGGAGCCACGTTGGGAAGGCTCGGGCTGCGCACAGACGGCCCCGCGGCGGGCAGTCCCGGCTGGCCTCGCCAAGCCCCACCCCCCCTGAGCAGCCCGGGGCGGTCTCCACGCCCCATGGGGGCGCAGCTGGAAGCGGCGCCGGGGTCCCGGAGCGTGGGGAGGGAGGGAGGGAGGGAGGGAGGGAGGAGGGAGGGAGGGAGGGAGGGAGGGAGGGAGGGAGGAGGAGGAGGAGGAGGAGGACGAGGAGGAGGAGGAGGACGAGGAGGAGGAGGAGGAGGAGGAGGAGGAGGAGGAGGAGGAGGAGGAGGAGGACGGAGGAGGAGGAAGAGGAGGAGGAGGAGCAGAGGACTGGCCTGGCTGGGCGGGAGTCGGCATGCGTTCGGCCAGGGCCCCAGTCTTCCCCCCCTTCCTCTTCCCAGACCTCCGACGTTATGGTTTTTCCAGTCCGGGGGCGTTTTTTTTTTTGCTTCTGGTCTCCAGGGCCTCTCATCGAGCCCCCATCCAGCATGCGAGACTACCCCCGTGGAAGCTGTCGGGACTTCTAGGGCCGCGGATGGAAAGCAGTGCGTTGTCAGACCTCTGTGGGTTCGTCTCCTTCCTCTCCCTGGTCCTGCTTGTTGTGCCGGTGCTGTCGGCTTTCGCTTCTCGCAGCAAAGTGTGCCACCGTGGTGCTGCTGCACGGCTGGCGGGCACGGCGTCAATTCCGGTTCCGTTTCAGATATCCTCGCGCATCCGACGTCACGATGTTTTCGTGATGTGTCCCTGATACCTCTCGACCCCTAGATAGCATTGTTGTTGTTGTTGCTGCTGTTGTTGTTGTTGTTGCTGCTGCTGCTGCTGTTGTTGTTGTTGTTGTTGTTGTTGTTGTTGTTGTTGTTGTTGTTGTTGTTGTTGTTGTTGTTGTTGTTGTTGTTGTTGTTGTTGATGTTGTTGTTATTATTGTTGTTGTTGTTGTTGTTGTTGTTGTGGTTGTTGTGGTTGTTGTTGTTGTTGTTGATGATGATGTTGTTGTTGTTGTTGTGGTTGGTGTGGTTGTTGTGATTGTTGTGGTTGTTGTTATTGTTGTTATTGTTGTTGTGGTTGTTGTTGTTGTTGTTGCTGCTGTTGTTGTTGTTATTGTTGTTGTGGCTGTTGTTGTTGTCGTTGCTGTTGTTGTTGTGGTTGTTGTGGTTGCTGCTGTTGCTGTTGTTGTTGTTGTTGTTGTTGTTGTTGTTGTTGTTGTTGTTGTTGTTGTTGTTGTTGTTGCTGCTGTTTTGCTCATCATGGGCCGTTTCTCGACGTGCTCGAGAGGTTCCCCCAGAAGCCGATTCTGTGGGAAAGCAGGTCGCCCTCTTCTCTCCCCGACGCCGGGATTGGACGGCCGCTGGCCCCTCCGCTTCCTCTTCCCTCCTCCCCGCCCCGGCGCCCAGTTCATGCTCCGGCTGCCGTTGCCGGTGCGGCATCCTGCGGTGAGGCCGCGGGGGGTAGACCGTGGGCAGGCACAGAGGAGGCGGAGCCGAGGCGGGAGGGGGGCATCGGCGGCGCGCCCAAGGGGGGGAAGCGTCGATGGCGCGTGCGAGGGACCCTTCGCAGGAGTGACTCTTTTGGTGCGGGCCCTCCGGGGCTCCCCGATCGCCGAACGCGACGCGATGGTAGCGTTAAGTCGGGCCCGTCCCTCTACAGGGGGAGTATTCCAAAATAGTCCAAACATAGTCAGGGGACGATTTTTTGACCACTTTTGCCCATTCGGGCGTTATTTTTTGTGTATATTTTCAATTTTTCGCCCAAAATCCCCCTGTAGGGGGACATGCCCGACCTAACGGTAACCTCTTGCGCGCTTGTGTTTGGCCCCCCCGCGGCCCCCAAGAAGAGCCGCGCGCCAGAGGTCACCCTGGCCGCGCGGTTAGCCGAGAGTGGCAGAGGGCAGGCCTGCGGGCAGGGCGGCGTGGCCTCTGCGGGGCTTCTGCGGGAGCCCTGCGAAGCCCCTCCCCGTCCTCCTCGGAGAGGGCCTCCCGCCTTCGGTGCCTCGCGAGGTGGCCTGCCCCGCCTGCCTTCCGTTCTGGGCGCGCCGCCGCGAGGAGCACGGAAGCGCCCACGACGTGAGTGTGGGCCGTCCTGGACCCTGGGGCAGTCGAGCAGCGGCCAGGGTGGGGAGCCGGTCCCAGGGGCGGGGGTCGAGAGTTTTTTTGGGCCGCGTCGCGAGGAAAGCACGACGTCGGGGGTTTGGGGAGGAGGAGGATGATGAGGAGCAGGGTATGGTAGGAGGAGGAGGAGGAGCAGGAGGAGGAGGAGGAGGGGAAGGAGGAGAAGGAGGAGGAGGCGGAAGAGTAATCAGGAATCGTCTGAGCAGGCATAGCCAGCAGGTGAACAGTAGTTTTGTGACCTACGGGCTTCCCGTGACGATAGATTTACCTACGCGTCCTGGGTCGCCTCCCCATTGCACAGCACGACAAAAACATTACGCGTCCTGGATCGCCTCCCCATTGCTCAACACGTTCTAACATGACAGCGGGAGCATGCACACTATTCACATGCACTTGGACTGCTGGAAACAAGAAGGCACGCTCGAAGCATAACACGTAGCTGTTAGATCATGAAGGGACGCACGCTTGAACATGCATCCGCAGCCGATCTACCGGACTACACACCAGCATGCCATTAGTATTGGAAGCGCATGTACCACGAGCAAGCATCAGGCACACGGAACGAATGCCAGCAGTCAGGGTAAACAGCAGAAGACGGAAGCACTCAGGAATCACCTGACCATATGCATGTTCATTATCCTCACACGTTCTCGCAAGCGGCTGTCTCATTATTATGGCCATCGTCATTTGCATTGGCATCCGTAGGACCTTGTGGCGTTAGGCGTGTGTACATGTGATTCTTCGTCCGCATTGAACCCGTTCTTCCTGGAGCGCCGAAAGGTGGGAGGCAGGTGCAGTGGGGTAGGGCAGAAGTGTCAGAGGGTATAGGGGAGCATCACATTCTGAAGCAGACGGCATTTCGCACCCTGTTGGGCTGGTTGCATGCGCATGTGATGGAACCTTGCCGCTTCGAGCTTGCTTTTCTTTTCGGAAGTGGCAGGGGGCGCGGTTGGTCCCCGATCGGTGCTTTCCACCGTCGGGCAGTTGGGCCTGGATCGTGTGATTTCTGATCGGGTTGTTTCTGGTGCCTACTGTTTTGGCGCCGATCGAATCCCGCGTCGCCCATCGCAAAGGTGATTGCAGGTACCAGCGGGCTGTCGGATCGGACATCCGAATTGCGAGCAAGCTGAATGAACGGGGTTCTCGATCTTTTTTGAGCCATGCACGTGCCTGAAGAGGCAGAGCACGCCTCAGAGCAGCAGTACGTGCAGCCTGGGCAGCACATGGTGCTGCTTCCACATCAGGACCCTCGCCGAGCTTCCGTTGGCAGTGGGAGGAGCGCAGCGTGCATGCAGGACGGAGAGGCAGGACCAGGGGAGGAGATGGAGGGGAGAGGGAGACGGGGGGATCGGACAGGAGGCAGGCCTGAAGAGGAGGGGCGCGAGGGAGGACCTGAGATGGGATGAGCAGGGGGTCCGCGACCGGCCTGCTCCCCCTCCCCCCCTCGCTGCGCCTGGCCCTCCTCCGGGCTGCGGGCGTCCGGAGGCGACGCCACACCCCAGGCGTCGGAGATCCGCGGACCCAGACCCCCGACGCCCCGGTCTTTTGCAGGACGTCGACCCCCAGGGGGTCTCGACCCGCTCGCCACGACCGGCTCTTCGTCCCGCGTCGCTCCTCGACGGCCTCGAAGCCCGGCGGGGGCTCCCCGGAGTCCGAAGAGAAGCAGCGAAGCACCTCCCGTCATGATCTTTCCCCGGCTCGAGGGGGTTCTGGGGACACCCGCGCGTGGTCCGCGACCCACCCACCTGGTCCTCTGGCTCCGTCCGTTGCTGCTGTTGCTGCTGCTGCTGCTGCCCCCCTCGCCCTCCCCCCCCCCCTCGGCGAGGCGTCCTCCCGCCCTCGGGGAACCCATCCGTGGGCAGCTCGTAGAGCTCGAGGCCTCGGCGCCCGCACACAAAGGGGCCCTGGACCCCCTCGCGCTGTGAACAAAATGCTCCTCCTCCTCCTCCTCCTCCTCCTTCATACCTCTTCCTTAAAAATGACTTCTCCATGTCGCACCCCGAGGCCAGTTTTTAGGGCGGGCCTGGCGTTTCGCCTGAGACTTCCTCACCATTGATGGCTCTGAAGCTTTGAAGATGACAACAATTTCACAGATGGAGGGCGGGTGGTTTTCAAACTGTGACTCTCGCCATTGCGCCGCGCACATTCGTGCTTCACAATTTGCGGGAGTTGCACGGGTTGAGGGTGGGTGGTTTTCAAAATGTGGTTCTCGCCTTGGCGCCGCGCACATTCGTTTTAAAGATTTGCAAGAGTTTGACGGATTGAGGGCGGGTGGTTTTCAAAATGCGGCTCTCGCCTGAGCGCCGCGCACATTCGTTTTTTTATGACATGTGCAAGAGTTTGACGGATCGAGGGTGGATGGTTTTCAAAATGCGGCTCTCGCCTTAGCGCCACTCGCATTTTTTCACGCATTTGTAAGAGTTTCACGGATTGAGGGCGGGTGGTTTTCAAAATGTGGTTCTCGCCATAGCGCCGCGCACATTCCTTTTAGATGTTTGCAAGAGTTTCACGAGTTGAGGGCGGGTGGTTTTCAAACTGTGGCTCTCGCCTTGGCGCCGCGCACATTCGTGTTTCAAAACATGCGAGAGTTTCACGGGTTGAGGGTGGGTGGTTTTCAAAATGTGGCTCTCGCCTTAGCGCCGCGCACATTCGTGTTTCAACATGTGCAAGAGTTTCACGGGTTGAGGGCGGGTGGTTTTCAAAATGTGGTTCTCGCCTTAGCGTCGCTCACATTAAACCTGATATTGTCACGAACCCCGACCT